TGCTGTGCTTTAACCCGCTGCGCCACCAGGGAGGGCCCTAGTAATTTATTTTTATTTTATGCTACAAACATATCCACAACATGTTAAAACCTGAGAAGTACTTCTTCAGAGCATTTGTAGAAAAATGTCCATTGTGTCAATCTTTTCACAAAAATTAAAAACAATCTGTTTGCCTATCAAATGAAGAATGGGATATTACACAATAAAAAAGGAACAATCTAATTTGCATGACCCAACATGGATAAGTTTCAAAAATCACTAGCATTAAATTCAAGATGGGACTACTGAGAGAAAAGCAAAAGGCAAGTAGAAAAAAAGATATACTGTTACTTATATTGTATTTTTATTTAAAAAAAAATTACTAATGGCCCTCCCTGGTGGCGCAGCGGGTTAAAGCACTGCACTGAGAAGCCAAAGCCACTTCCTCATGAGTTCGATTCCCGCCTGCCCCAGAGGTGACCACATGGCGTGGCAGACCTCTCCTGACCCGCCCGCTCCTCCCCTCAGCAATGTACTTCGTCGATCTGCCTGTTCTGCTCCCCACTCTGTCTCTGGTGAAGCCTCTCACCGTCTCTGAGCCTCTGGCCTGTACCCCAGTTCTGTATGTACAAATAAATAAATCTTTAAAAAAAAATTACTAATAAGACAATTACATTAATACTTGACAAAAGCAGCTTGAGAATATTGATCATATCATTCTCTAAAACCTGTATGGTATATAAGCAATATTTAGTGTTTCCTTCAGAAACACTAAAGATAAAAAAAGGTGAAAAAACTACAATAAATTCATACAAAGGGAAAGAATAACAGTGATTAGAACAGAGAATTGGGGATTGAGGAAGATTTCTCTGAGATAGTGACCTTTACAAGGAGAAGTGACAGATCTTTAAAAGTGGGGGAGAACACTGTGTCTCTGGTGAAGACTCTCACCGCCCTGAGCCTCTGGCCTGTACCCCAGTTCTGTACGCACAAATAAATAAATCTTAAAAAAAAAAAAAAGTGGGGGAGAAGTCCAAACAAAACAAAAAGTGCAAATATCCTGAGGTCAAGTGAGAGGTGTGCAGGGCAGTATGTACCCTGTGAGCTACTGATGAGTCCAGCTGAGAAGCAGGCACACTGTGTAGAAACCATTAAGGATTTTAAACACAAATGAAATAAGACACAAATCTGTGTTTAAATAAAATCTTTTTGGTCTTTTGCTTTATAAACATTAAGGGGGTCAAATAGTGGACTTAGAGAGGTTGCTGCCAGGGTCTACATAAGAGCTGATGGTCAAATTCATTAGGTGGCAATGTAAACAAAAAAATGTGATGCGATGAAAACTATATTTTCATCAAAGATTCAAAGATTGACAGGACTAGTGATTGACAGGCTCAAAGAGGAAAGGTGGGGGTAGTGGGGGGGGGCAAAAAAAAAAAGGACAAGAAGCCCATGAGATCAGATAACTTTGTTAGAGGAGATTTGAAATCTAATCTTAGTTTCCCTAAATTACTAACATAAATTATTAACATAAATTACTAAACATAAATTACTAAATTTATGAAGTCTATACTATGAAAACAAACTAGCAATTGAGAACAGCTGCTAATTAAATTTCTATCTTCTTGATAACCCTACTATCACTTCTCTTACTCCTATTTCATAGAGAAATAGTTAAATACAGACTGTGCTCTAAAATAACTAATGAATGAACTGAAGTAGAAAAGTTTAAAAGAATCTTTTCAAAAGAAGGGAAGAAACAGGGGAAAACAGAAATTATAAAATGATTTACTTAAATCTTAAAATATCAGACCTCCCTGGTGGTACAGCTCTCTAAAGCTATCAGCAGCCACTGCAGCACAAATTTGATCCCTGGCCAGGGAGGTGACCCACACAGCACAGCAGACCACTCACATCTCACCCACTGCTCCCCTCAGCAGTGTATCTCAGTCAATCCACTTGTTCTGTTCCCCACTCTGGTCAATCACCTCACCCTCCATACCTCTGACCTGTATCCCAGTTATTATATGCATAATAAATCTTTTTTTAAATTTTAAATATATCAATAATCATC